TCCTCACACCTCCCATCACTTCCCTCTCTCTCTAGAACTTCTCTCTAGCCCCGAAACCCCCCGAAAAGCCTAGGGAACCTCCCTAGCACGAGGCGGAAGCCCCGGAGTGCCGGACGCCTCCGAGAAGAATAGCCTTTCGGTTCGGGAACGCTGCTCTAGCGAAGCCCGATTTTCGAGAAAACCCGCTGTAAGTGAGCTACGCCTACGCTATTTTTAATATAGCTTCTAATTAATTATAGTAACCTTATTAGGACCTTAAAATAATTATTTGGGCTATTATTATGAGTTATATAATAGTGTTGTTTAATGCTTATATAATAGTAATAATAGCTAGACTATTAATTAGTCGCGGTTAACGTTAGACCAAACCCTAGTGGTATTGATACTAGGTTTTGTCAAGGGAAAATTGTTTTGAGATAACGATGTGCTGTCCGAGTACCGAGTCACCACCTAATCAAGTGAGTGCATAGTCCCTTTCATGAACATGATTTTAATACAAGTATTGATTGAAGTATTGATTATATGTTTATGTGCGAGTTAATTGATGTTGCCTGAAATACGTGTTAAAGAACATACCTGATTATATATGATGATTTAGGATAAAGAGTAAACCTAGATTAATTATGAGGAATATTGGGCAGTATTTTCTTATGAGTACAAGTGAGTTATACTCAGAGAATAGAACTTTAGTATATGTCATTGATCCGGGAGCATGGATTAGACATAGTCATTGTCCCTAGTCCGAGAGTATGGATTGGACATAGCCAACTGTCATTAATCCGAGAGTATGGATTAAGACATAGTCAGTTGTCCTTAGTCTGGGAGTATGGATTAAGACGCAGTCAGTCGTCCTCAGTTCGGGAGTATGGATAGGACATAGTCATTCATCGTTAATCCGGGAGAATGGATTTCACAAGGACACTTGTCCCTAATCCGAGAGTATGGAATGGGCACAATTATTGATCCGAGAGCATGAATTAGATCCGAGAGTATGGGTTAAGTAAGATGTAAAATTTAAGGTCCGAGAGTATGGATAGTCTCGTTGTAAGGATTAACGTGGTGGGGTAAGAGTTGCTTATATATATATATATATATATATATATATATATAATATATATTATATATATATATATATATATATATGGTGAAATTGTATATTTTGTGAGTTCTAAATTATATATATTATATAACATTGTGGGATTGAAATCCCTATGTACTCACCAGGTTTCCCAACCTGACCCACTCCAGCTTATTTCTATCACAGGTGTCGATATGAAGTTACATTACACTAAGAGATTTAAAAGAGATGTAGCTCACTAGTGTAAATGAATGTAAGTTCTGTTTATGCTTATGTTTCTGTATTGACGATGACATCCCAAATGTTTTTAAAAATGAATAAAAAAATACATTTCTTCGGAAATGCTTTGATAACGTATTTATCATGTTTTACTGGGAACAAATTCCGCAACATTTTTATTAAAAGAGGTACTCTGATTTTTATAAAGCATAAACAAAATCGGTCTTTTCTGGTCGTGAAAATGGGGATGTCACAGCATGTGCATCGACTTTTCTGACCTAAACAAGGCATGCCCCAAAGACTGTTATCCCCTACCAGAAATTGAGCAAAAAGTGGAGTCGTTACAAGGTTTCAAGCTCAAGTGCTTCTTAGACGTGTATAAAGGTTACCACCAAATTCTGATGAGCAAGGAAGACGAGGAGAAGACAGCCTTCTATACAGACCACGAGACCTTCTGTTACACCAAAATGCCATTTGGATTAAAAAATGCGGGAGCCACGTACCAGCGGCTAGTCGACTCGATATTCTCCAACCAAATTGGGAGGAACATCGAGGTATACGTCGATGATATGGTAATTAAGAGCCCTGACGAAGAAAGAATGCTACGGGATGTCGAAACCTTCAGCACGCTAGAAAGAGTCAAGATGAAGCTGAACCCGGCCAAATGCATGTTCGGAGTCGAAGAAGGACAATTCTTGCGGTACTATGTCACCAGACAAGGCATCCAGCCCAACCCAACCAAGGTAGACGAGTTCATGGAAACACCACCCCCAAGAACCATGAGGGACGCACAAGGATTGAATGGGAAACTTACAGCCCTCAGTCGATTCATCTCGAAATCAGCTGATAAAGCAATGCCACTATTCCACACGCTAAAAGGATGCATCGAGAAGAGCAATTTCCAGTGGACGGCGGTGGCAGAGTTAGCGCTCCAGCAGATCAAAGAAGCCCTGCACAGATTACCCACATTTGGCTAGCCCCATTCCAGGCGAGACATTGCAGGTGTACCTTTCAACCTCTAATGAGGCAATATCCTCCGTATTGGTGGTAGAAAGGGAGGGGGAACAGAAACCGGTGTATTTTGTCAGTCGGACGCTGCAAGGCCCCGAACTCAACTACCCCACCTTGGAAAAGCTAGTATGGTGCTTGTCTACGCGGCGCGACGTCTGAGACGCTATTTTCAGGCGCACCAGATTGAAGTACTCACAAATTGTCCCATTAAACAAATTTTACTCAAACCAGAAACGTCGGGCCGGCTAGCGAAGTGGGCGATTGAGCTGGTAGAGCATGACATCAGCTATCGACCGAGGACGAGCATCAAAGGACAGGCGCTAGCAGATTTCTTGCACGAGATCCCGGGCGAGGGAAACTCATTTGAAGAAGGTATATGGGCGGTAAAGGAAGTACCAGGCAACAGTCGGGGATGGACGTTGTACACTGACGGAGCATCCAGTAGAGAGGGTTCGGGCGCAGGCCTAATTTTGATTAGCCCAGAGGGAGAAGAAATCACGTACGCTCTTCGTTTCGACTTCCACACCTCAAACAACGAAGCAGAGTATGAAGCTTTACTTGCAGGGTTGCGTCTCGCAAAGCAAATAGGAGCAGAAGTTGTAACAGCCTTAACAGACTCGAGGTTGGCCGCAAACCAGATCAATGGGAGCTTCGAAACATGGGACCTAAGGATGGGGCGATATGTAAAGATAGTAAAGAAAATTGTCCAATCTTTCAAGGGGTTCATGATTAAACAAATACCGCGACGTGAAAACAGAAGGGCGGATGTGCTAAGCAAATTAGCGTCTACATGTTTTGATCACTTGTCAAAGAAAGTTCTGGTAGAAGTACTTAAAGAAAGGAGCATAGATGAACGACAGGTGAGCACCCTCTCAACCAACAGACCCACGTGGATGACCCCGTTTGTCGATTACTTGCAGCGGGGCGTCCTACCAAATGATCACAACGAAGCTAGGAAGATACGCATAAAAGCACCCTCATATGCGCTAATAAACGGGGAACTATATCGAAAAGGGTTCACGACGCCATGGATGAAATGCGTAGATAGTTCTAAGGGGAAGGAGGCGCTTCAGGAGGTGCATGCAGGCCAAGCGGGCGCGCACGAGGGCACACGCGCCTTGACAGGAAAAGTGCTTCGAATGGGAATTTACTGGCCCACTGCATATCAGGACGCTGCAGATCTAACCAGGAAGTGTGGAGACTGTCAAGAATTCGCGCCCGTTCAAGCGAATCCTCCTGTACCATTGTCTAACATATCTAGCCCTTGGCCGTTTTTTCAATGGGGAATAGATATAGTGGGGCCGTTCCAGGAGGCACCCGGAAAGCTGAAGTACATGGTGGTCGCGGTGGACTATTTCACGAAATGGATTGAAGTGGAACCCTTAGCATGCATATCCGGAAAACAGATGATAAAGTTTGTATGGAAAAACATCATGACTAGATTCGGTACGCCCAAAATTTTGGTCAGCGACAACGGCCTACAATTTGCTGAGAACCCATTCAGGGACTGGTGCACTAGTAAAGGAATCAGCCAACGATTCACATCGGTGACGCATCCACAGGCGAATGGGCAGACGGATGTATCTAACCGGACCATTGTAAATGGAATTAAAAAGCGGCTAGGAAAAGCTAAAGGGAATTGGGCTGAGGAAATTCCAACGATATTATGGTCATATAGAACCACTCCGCGAACAAGCACGCAGGAAACACCGTTCAGTCTAACATATGGAGAGGAGGCGATGCTCCCCTTGGAGATAACTATGGGCACGTTGAGAACAACCGATACTAGCGGGGAGGTCAACTCTCAAGACCTAAGGCTGAATCTGGATATCCTAGAAGAACGGCGAGAAAGGGCGAAGATGCGCCAGGGCGCTTACACGCGCGTAACATAAAGATATTACAACCAGAGGGTCAAAGAGAAAGCGTTCAGAGTGGGGGAATATGTGTTGAGAAGAAACGAAGCGAACCGAGCTCAACCCTAAGGCAAGCTGGGGCCAACATGGGAAGGTCCATACAAGATTGTGGAAGCAAACCAAAACGGAGCATATGTCCTGGAGACAATGGAAGGAAGGCAAATACCAAGAACTTGGAATTCCAGGAACCTAAAAAAGTTTTTCTTTTGAGAGGAACACAATCTATTGCAAAAAAGGGCAGACCCAACTGCCTAACACCAATGGAATGTCGTACTTAGCGTACCAAGTCCCAGTACTTAGCATACGGGACCCCATGCTTAGCGCATCACAATCCTGATACTTAGTGCATTAGAGCTTGTAATTGACACATGTAATCGAATGTTTAATGCATTGAATACTTAGAGTATTAAATCTTATAATAAAGCAATCGACTGCTTAGTGCATCGAACTATTCAATGCGTCAAACTCAACGAGGCAATCAGATGCTTAGGGCATTCAATCATAACACTTAGTGTATCGAATGTCGCATTGACGAATCCAGATGCTTAGTGCATCAAAACAATCTACATACCAAATTTAAATCAAACGCTTAAGGCATTGGTCCTAGTACTTAGCGTATTAGTCACCACACCCAAAATATGCAATCAGGATTAACCATAAGTTCGATTAAACAAAATCCCATATCTTACATTACCAACAACAAAACAAGAAAAGCTAACATACATCCAGAACTATAGAAAAGCAACAAACACAAATGTGTCAAAAGAAAAGGAAAGTCTTCACGCCCCAGGAGGGGTAGCACACGATGCAAGAACATTTGCATCTTCTTCATTACCATCACCATCGCCAACAAAAATAATCACATCATTCTCCATATTCTCATCACCTGCACCAACGTCACCAATGCCATCACCAGCACCCTTAGCCCCACACTTGTCTGATCCAACAGTATGTTCACCTAGCTGCACAATCTCTCCTTCGTTACCTGCCACAGCTTCAGGAGTACCCTCAGAACCGGAAAAGATGCACAAGTCACGAATTCCTTGGATGTCTAAATCTCCTAACCCAAGAGCTCCGCATGATCCATACTGGCAAACGAAAGAAGAGCCTCATTCATACTCACAGTAGGCCCGGCGGAGGAGGCACCAGCAGCCGCATCTCTAACACCAACACCCACCAAAGAATTGCGAACAGACTCCGCCCCATCAACAAAGGCAAAGTGTCGAATAAGGCTTACAGCTTTCGTGAAACTCGGATGTTCAATCAACTTGTCAACAATTCGCACAACGCCCACCCGCACCAACCAGTCTAAGTCACGGTGCACAACATCGGTACTCGCTTGCAAATCAGCAGTTACCCAAGGTTCTAGTCCAATATCCACGCCCTAGGAGGTGTTACTGGCACTTAAACACCACTTGATGGTGTTTACGGTTCAAGGATATCCCTTGACCGTAAACACAAGTGTTCTTGAGGGTTTTTGATGTTCTTCAATGGTTTAGCAAGTATTCTAAGCAAATAACTAGTTAGGAGGAGTGTACTTACTTATAGGAAGCTTGTAAGAGTGTTTAAGGGCCAAAAACACTAGTGTGTGTTCTTGGTGTTTTGAAGAACACTTGAAGATCTAAGTAGAAATGAAGAATCCATGGATGAAATGATGTATAAACACTAGATAAGGTGTTATAACAAAAAAACAAGTGAAGGAACACTTACATTTTTGGAAGATTTGGAAGATGATCCTATGATAGTTGAGAGAAAAAGTTGGGTGTTCTTGAGCTAGGAAGTGAGAAATGGGGGAATGAAGAGTAAACTCATGCTATATGCATGAGTTCTTGGTCAAAGAGGAGTTTACGGCCCAAACTCCTCATGTTTGGCCGTAAACACCTAGTTAAGGTGTTGTTTGTTTAATTGTTACACAATACTCCTAAAAGATACTTTCGTTTATTTGTTCGTTTGACGAAAATTAAAATAAAAACACCCAACGAACTTTAAACTGGACAAAAATGTACTGAAATGAATTTGACTATTATTTGAAGTGCTTGACTGTAGAGTTTATACAAATGAAAATTCGGGTTGTCACATCATCCCCCCGTTAGAGGGAATTTCGTCCCGAAATTAGAGTTCAAGCCACTAAGTTATTACAACATAACTAAGCAAAAAGATGAGGATATTTAAGTTTCATTTGATCCTCGTGCTCCCAAGTGAACTCCGGTCCTCGCTTGGCGTTCCAACGAATCTTCACAATTGGGATGCGACTTTGTTTCGTTCGTTTGACCTCTCGGTCCATGACATCTACAGGTTCTTCCACGAAGTTGAGGCTCTCGTTGATCTCGATCTCGTCGAGTGGGATTACAAGAGTCTCGTCGGATAGGCACTTTTTCAAGTTCGAGATGTGGAAGGTAGGATGTACATTACTAAGTTCGCGGGGTAAGTTGAGTTTGTAAGCTACGGGGCCGATTCTAGCGAGAATCTCGAAAGGCCCTATGTATCTTGGATTTAGCTTTCCACGCTTTCCGAAGCATATCAACCCCTTCCAGGGTGAGACTTTCAAAAGGACTCGGTCTCCCACTTGGAATTCCAAAGGTTTCCTTCGTTTGTCTGCGTAGCTTTTCTCTCGGTCTCTAGAGGCTTTCAATCGTTCACGAATCTGAACGATCTTCTCTGTTGTTTCCCGAATGATCTCCGGACCTGTGAGAGTGTTGTCAGGAACTCGTCCTTTAGCTAACTGAGTGTCACCCACCTCAGCCCAGCACAGAGGGGATCTGCACTTCCGGCCGTAGAGGGCTTCAAATGGAGCAGCCTTGATGCTCGTGTGATAACTGTTGTTGTAAGAGAACTCGACGAGGGGTAAGTGAGTATCCCACACCTTCCCAAAGTCGATCACACAGGCTCGCAACATATCTTCTAAGGTTTGGATAGTCCTCTCACTTTGTCCGTCGGTCTGTGGATGGTAGGCTGTACTCATGTCCAGCCTCGTTCCTAGGGAGCTTTGTAGTGACTGCCAGAACCTCGAAGTGAATCTACTATCTCTATCGGAGATGATAGATATTGGAACACCATGCAGTCGTATGATCTCCCTAATGTAGGTTCTCGTAAGCTTCTCCATTTTGTCTGTTTCTTTGATAGGCAGGAAGTGTGCGGACTTGGTCAATCTGTCGACGATGACCCATATGGTATCAAGTCCACCCGTTGTCTTGGGTAGCTTGGTTATAACGTCCATAGTGATCCGCTCCCACTTCCATTCAGGTATCTCCGGTTGCTGAAGTAAACCTGACGGTTTCTGGTATTCGACCTTGACCTTTGCGCAAGTAAGGCATTTACTCACGAAGGTAGCAATCTCTGCTTTCATGTTAGGCCACCAGTATGACTTTTTAAGATCCATATACATCTTATCTGAACCCGGGTGGACGGAATATCGAGTGTTGTGCGCTTCCTTCATGACCAAGTCTATGAAGCCACCGTGTCGCGGTGTCCAGATCTGGTCCATGAGATATAAGGCTCCGTCACCCTTGACTTCTAAGTTCTTATCCATTCCACGCAGGGATTCTCCTGTCACATTTTCAGGTTTTAGGGCTTCGAGCTGAGCCTCCTTAATTTATGCGGATAGATGTGAATGGATAGTCATTGTTAATGACTTGACTCTTCGACCAGAATATTCCTTCCGACTTAGGGTGTCTGCTGCTACATTGGCTTTACCCGGATGATAACGAATTTCGCATTCGTAGTCATTAAGTAGTTCGACCCACCGTCGTTGTCTCATATTGAGCTCCTTCTGGTTGAATATGTGTTGTAGGCTTTTGTGGTCTGTAAAGATATTACTCTTCGTACCATAAAGGTAGTGTCTCCAGATCTTTAGGGCGAACACAACCGCTCCTAATTCGAGGTCGTGAGTGATGTAGTTGACCTCGTGTGTCTTCAGTTGTCTTGAGGCATAGGCTATGACCTTTCCTCGTTGCATTAGAACACAACCGAGCCCTTGATTTGACGCATCGCAATAGACCACGAAGTCTTATGTTCATTCGGGGAGGGACAGTATCGGTGCGGTGCACAAGGCTCGTTTTAGCATTTGGAACGCTTTCTCCTGCTTCTCTTCCCAGTCAAAGGCCACGCCTTTCTGGGTCAATGTCGTAAGGGGTTACGCGATCCGAGAGAAATTTTGAATGAACCTGCGGTAGTAGCCAGTGAGGCCTAGAAGTTGACAAATTTCTGTAGGTGTCTTTGGTGCTGACTAGTTCTCAATGGCCTTAATTTTGGATGGGTCCACGTGGATTCCGTCTTCGCTAACCACGTGTCCTAAGAATTCGACTCTTCGGATCCAAAATTCGCACTTAGAGAACTTCGCATAAAGCTTCTCTAATCGTAAGGTTCCTAGGACTTGTCGTAAATGATCGCTATGCTCCTCCTTACTTCGAGAGTAGATAAGTATATCATAAATGAAGATGATGACGAACTGATCCAAGTAAGGACGGCATACTCTATTCATCAAGTCCATGAATACTGCGGGCGCATTGGTCAATCCGAATGGCATCACTACGAACTCGTAGTGTCCGTAACGATTTCGGAAGGCTGTCTTCAGAACATCCTTCTCAAGCACTCGTAACTGGTGATACCCGGACCTCAGATCAATCTTGGAAAAGTAGCTCGCCCCTTGCAGCTGGTCAAATAAATCGTCTATGCGAGGAAGAGGGTAACGATTCTTGACTGTAAGCTTGTTGAGTTCCCTGTAATCGATGCACATACGGAACGATCCGTCTTTCTTCTTCACGAACAAGACTGGTGCTCCCCAGGGTGAGAAGCTTGGTCTTATGAAGCCCTTGCTGAGCAGTTCGTTAAGTTGACCGGACAGTTCCTGCATCTCAGCAGGTGCTAGACGATAGGGTAATTTGGCTACGGGGGTCGCTCCTGGAATTAAGTCGATTTGGAACTCGACTTGTCGTTGCGGGGGTAATCCTGGGAGTTCTTCCGGAAAGACGTTGGGAAAATCGCGTACTACGGGGAGGTCTTTTAGGTCTTTTGTTTTCTGGCTCGTATCGACAAAGTGCGCCAGGAATGCACGATATTCCTTACGCAAGTACTTCTGGGCTTGAATACTCGAGATGATACGAAGGCTCTTACTGGGTTTGTCTCCGTAGATTAACAAGGTTTCATGATTCGGTAGGTTTAGGCGGACTGCTTTTTCGAAGCACAGAATGTCGGCACGATAGAGACTCAGCCAGTCCATGCCCACAATGACATCGAAACTTTGGATAGCTACTGGTATGAGATCGATTGGGAATGAATGATTATCTAGCGTGAGGGTACAACCTATGTAAATCTCGTTAGAATTCTCTGTTTTTCCGTTGGCCATTTCTACGACGAAGGTTTCTTTTAGTGCTTGTGGTGCTTGATTAAGTAAGTGTTTAAATTTTCGGTTTACGAAACTCCTTTCTGCCCCAATATCGAATAGGATACAAGCATAAGAGTTATCGAGAAGGAACGTACCCGTGACTACTATGGGGTCTGCTACGGCTTCGTTGTGGCCAATAGCAAGTAGTCTTCCTGCTCCTCCCGTATTCCCAGCTTTCGGGCAGTTTCTTTTGAAGTGCCCTGTCTCGCCGCACCCGTAGCATGCTTGACTCACTCCGGTACTGGGAACCAGATTGATGGGTTTGGGTTGGGATCTGCAAAACCGGGCGGTATGGCCCTTCCGGTTGCAGTTAGTGCAGTGCATTTCATGGCAGGGGCCGTTATGATGGAAAGAGCACTTAGTGCACTTAGGTAGGTTCCCTGCATATGGTTTGGCTGGTACAGGGGCAGCAGGGGTAGTGGTAGCATGGACAGCCACTGTCTGTTGGTTCTGGGAAGAGGATTGAGCCGATTTGCCCTTCTTCCCGTCCCAACGCTTCCTTTTGTTACCAGATGTTTTGGTTGATACGGGGGTAGTCTTTGTAGTTGTTGATGGAGTAGAAGGAACCTCGTGATCGATGAGTCTTTGGGCCAATTCTTTGGCACTATCGAAGGTCGCAGGGTGTGATGCTAGAACGTTCTCTCGATATGGGGGTACCAGACCCCAGATGTATCTTTCGATCTTTTTGTTTTCGGTGGGAACCATGTTAGGACACAGAGCCACCAGGTCACAGAACCTGGCTGTATAAGCCACTATGTCGGAACCCTGCATTTTGAGGTTCCAGAGTTCCTCCTCGAGCTTCTGAATTTCGCCCCTCGGGCAGTACTCCCTTGTCATGAGGTCTTTCAGTGTATCCCATCCCATGGCATTAGCTGTTACTAGTGAGAGTGATTTGACATGGCCATTCCACCACGTCAGGGCCCTTTCGATGAAGGTGCAAGCAGCGAACTTTATCTTGCTTCCCTCAGGGCATGAGCACATCTCGAAGATTGCTTCTATTCTCTCGATCCATTAGGACAGTGCAAGGATCCCTCCGGTTCCGTTGAAGTATGTAGGTTTGCAGCTGATGAAATCTTTATAGGTACACTCTCGTGCACGCGGATGGATTTCACCATGGCTGTAGTTTGTGCCAGTCCCCGTTCCACTAACGCCGCCAGAGTTTACTTGGGCCATGGCGGCGGTCACAGCTGCCTGAAACATCACCGCATCAAACTGCGGAGGGGGTGGTGGTGGTGGAGTTTGATTTGCAGGCGTGTTTCTGGTTGGACGCTTTCTAGGCGGCATCTTTTACTGAAAGTTCATAAAGATGATGATAATAGTAAGAATCGATTGTAAGCATGATGAGAGTGTTCCATGGACTAAATCGCCATAGTCCGAATATCAGATAGAGTCATAATAATAGAGTAGGGAACACAAGAGTACCGACTTTCCCATAGATTAGATAACTGCCAATATTACTGGTATTAATGATGTAAAATGACTTCAGGAAAAATGACCTAACAGTAGGTCTCACATCAAACCATAAGGGAAAATGTTGGCAGATTAGAAGTCTAGTTAGAGTACTTTCAAGGTTATAAATGTTTACAAACAAGTGAAACAGAGATATTGAAGAGAAGGGCTATTCTTTTAAGAAGAGAAAGGATGAGCAGACAATCCTCTACTGGCGACGGGCACCCCTTGAGTGAACCCTTAAGTCAGCCAGGGTATCTACGCAGGGATAGGGGGAAAAGAATAGTTAAGAGATGTACTAACCTAAGATAATTATAAGATGATCGTTATTAGTTGATTCAATACTTGCATAGTGCATACCAATTACATGCAACCAAAACAGGATAGACCTTCGAATAAGTGACCCTAACTCTAAATCCACAACCAAACAAGGAACAGGAAACAAAGCAAAGATCACAGATTCTAAGTCTATAGCGCCTTAGTCACATGTAACCTTAGAGTATCCACTTAGCAACTACCGCCCTACTAGTAACGACCCTTTTAGTTCTCACACATGTATTTTATAGTAACGCAGAATACTCCCATAGTATTCTGTTCTAATGTTCTTGTTGTGGTAGCGTTGGTAAGTTTTTAGACTTGTTGCAACATTGCAATCATTCTTAGGCACATGCTAGTCACTCCTCAGAAAGTATAGTTGATCAGGCTAATCCCCTTAGGTTTGACTATATGTCTTTAAGCCTAATTGTGACGTTCAACAATCGTAATACTTTTGTTCTGTTCTAGTATGATACTGACACTAGTATGAATAGATGTATATATATATATATATATATATATATATATATATATATATATATATATATACTTAGTTAAATATTTTATTATTTAAAAGTATATATTCTTGGTCAGAGTGTTTTAATCCCGATGTGTTTATAGTTTGTATATGTTTTATGGGTTGATATACTTGATTCACTATAAACAGTGCTCTGATACCAATCTGTCACACCCCAAAACCGGAACGGCGGAATCGTTCGGGGGTGGAGGACGTCATGTACAGTATCACAACAATGCATAGTAGTAAACAAGCAACAACATCATCCATTGCATTAATAATATAATTTAATACAAGTGTGTTCTGTCAAGTTAAATAGACACCAAAAATATAATCAAAATAAAAGGTGAGTCTTGTATGTGCTCCATCTTCTCAAAAGCTCCATCTGTACCTGTCTACTGATGACCTGAGAATACAAGTTATTTTGAAAGAGTTTATCAGCATAAAGCTGGTGAGTTCATAAGTATTTAGTGTCATTGCTTGTATAAAAATGTTTGTAACAATGTAGTGTAGTAACTAATTCCATATGTTTGTAAATAGTATACTCCCTAGAAAACCCTATATTTTCTAGTAAAAAGTAGTCTTCTACCAAGACCCGATTGTTTTAATGTTTGTTCTTTCGTAAGTGTGAGGGTTTTTCCCCAGTGAAAACTATTAGTATAAAAATATAGTTTACTTAAAC